TTTTTAAATATTTTTTATTTATTCAACGTAATTTGTGTGGATCGATTTAAAATACAAACCTACAAATAAGCTTTGTTAAAGCCCTCACAATGTAATTATTAGAATAAATAAGCACCCTAATAAATCCTTTTTTTTTACAGAAAGTCTTGAGGAACAGGGTTTAAAACTACGAGGTAAAGATGGCCAAAAAAAGTTATTTGTGTGGAATTTTTCTAATATGAAAAATTTTAACAGATTTAAAAATAAAGGTTAAAAAACGTACCCGTTTCAATCATAGATAACAATCACAGAACAAATAACAATGATGTTTCTTGCCTTCTTCGGGGTTTTCTATTTTTTTGCAAGGTAGCTTTTTCGCCTATAGGCGACTATAGTCGAAGTCACGACATGTTCCTTATTTTTCGGTGTTAAAAAACTCAAGGTAAATAAATATACGTTAAATTCGTCGTTTTAGGAGGTTTTATAAAGGTTTCTTCAGCTTGCCAAAGTATTTTCGAATGAATACAACTATTCTGTGATCATTAAATATAAGTAGTAGTTTCCATGCACAATGGAGCAAATAGTGGTTAAAAGTGAACCTGAAGAACTAGTTGACGATTATAAAGGTGATATTTTGATGAATTATGCTAACCAAGAAATGTCTTCAACTTCTGGGATACCAATAAACATTGAGCAAATATATATAAAACAGGAAATCAAAGAAGAATTCAAAACCGAAGACGAAATGTTGCTCAACGAAGGGTAATTGCCATTTATTGAATTATCACCATGGCAACAGTTGTTTGACAGTTGACATAATTTAAACATGTAACAAGTACCAGGTTTAACCTTGAAATGAAAAATAATTTTTTGTAGGACCTACAGTGAAGTTGAAAATAAAGAAATACTGGCAAAAATAGACTTTCCAAAAACAGAAAAAGGTAAGCATATTTTTTCGACATAACTTTGATATTATTGAAAAATTTTACGTTTTTATTTTTGAAACGTGATTAGAAAATTGTTTTCTATCCTTTTACCTACCTACCTAAATATGTAAATATCTAAACTAAAATAAAAATTTTAAACCTCTTAAAATTAAAACCATAGGTTGGGATATTAACTGAATTTTTATTTTGACATAATACCTATGAGGAAGGGTGCATCAAAAATTATTTTTTTAAATAATGGCGGCAAAAGTTGACATACATTTTTATAAAAAAAACTAAAAGCATTCATTTTCTTGTGGAAATTGAGGTATGTGTAAAAAGTGTGTGTACAGAGATTGTAGGCAATTGGATTATTTTTGGAGGCAGTTGGGGTACAGAGATAAAAAACGGTTTTTATCAGATAGAAAGAAAAACAGAAAAAACAAAAAAATATCTTCTAAAATCTTAATTTTGGGGATTTTACTTGTGACGTGTTTTGTGGAAAACTAAATTTCCTACAAAAAAAAATTGATTTTTTTCCAGACTCAACTGTTTACAAGTTTTTGCTAACATATTATTTTATATTTAAACTTAAATGCGACCTTTGCCCTAAGAAATACCCGACAAAGGGAAATTTATTTCGGCATAAAAAGTATGTTCATAGAAAAGGTGAACAGGAACTATTTAAATGTGTGCAATGCGATTATGAAAGTGCTACTAAAGCTTATTTTAGCAAGCATTTAAAAATTCATGACAAAGAAAAACATTTAAAATGCCGCTTTTGTCACTACACGTCTGCTGGATCGCAGACCTTAAACGCGCATATTCTAAGCAAACACAAGGTAGAATATAACAAAGTCAACAATGAAATAAAAATAACGAGTAAAATTTATCAATGCACCAATTGTTCTTATTCAACTGTTATTAAAACACGTTATAATAATCACATTAAGGTGTGTTTGAAATTAAAAAATGTAAAATGGTTTAAATGTCACCTTTGCCATTTCCGAACTATTAATAAAAGTAATTTAAATCCCCACATAAAAACCCACAACAAAATAAAAGAACTGAAATGTTTGTTTTGTTCGTATCAAAGTAACATAAAAAAAAATTTAGACAACCACATTCTAACCAAGCATTTGAATTTGTTGAATGAATCCAATACAAATATGATAACCTCCAAAATACACCATTTCGAACAATGCGACTACAAAACTACACAAATAAGTAATTTGAAATACCATTCAAAAAATCAACATTTGATTTAAGTTTTTTAACGAAATTCTAAACTTTGTAATTTAATTTTAAGTCTTGGTTGTTAATAAATCATTACTATTTTTTAAATATTTTTTATTTATTCAACGTAATTTGTGTGGATCGATTTAAAATACAAACCTACAAATAAGCTTTGTTAAAGCCCTCACAATGTAATTATTAGAATAAATAAGCACCCTAATAAATCCTTTTTTTTTTACAGAAAGTCTTGAGGAACAGGGTTTAAAACTACGAGGTAAAGATGGCCAAAAAAAGTTATTTGTGTGGAATTTTTCTAATATGAAAAATTTTAACAGATTTAAAAATAAAGGTTAAAAAACGTACCCGTTTCACGAAATTACGTCATTTAAATTTTTTACACAGTCATTCTTATTATTTTAACCTAAACATATTTTTAATTCTCTATTTTTTTATATACAGGGTGTCCGGGAAAAGGAGGTCAATCCGTTAACCATATATTCCTTGAGTTAAAACAATAAGACTTTCATAATACCATTTTTCAATTTAGAGCTTCATGTTCGATATACAGGGTGACAAAGTTTGAAATTTAAAACTGTTTTTTTTAATAATTCGAGTAATTGATAAGATATTAAGTTTAAATTCGGTACACTACTTCAACATAAATAGTTACATTTTTTGAGAGCAACAAAACAAAAAACAATTGTTAAATAATCAAAATAGGGGGGTCCAGTACTCACTGACTCCCCCTATTTTTTAGTACGTGCGCCAATGACTTCCAAACGGTATTTTTTCAGGTAATCATTTATTGTTAAAAAAAATTTGTCTCTTATAAAATTTTGATAAAATGATTTGTTTTAGAGATAATTTGTAAAGTATGGGTCAGTCCATATCAAATCAACCAAAGGTTCTTCCCCCACCATCTCCGATTTTGATAATTTTTGGTAAATTTGTTTACCTCACTAAAAAACTCAAAAATCCCATATATGATTTTTTTTCGATAGGTGGTTTTTGTTTTATTGATTTTTGAAAATCAAAAAATTCCGATAAATTTGGGTCTTGCAAGTACATACAAAAATAGCGATATCTCGTAAACTATTAAAAGTAGAAAGGTGAGTGATAGCTTATTTTAAAGGCCTATTAGAGACCTTTTTTATGATATATCACATGACCTAAATTTTTTCAAAAAAAAAATTAAATTTCGAAAATTTGATATGGACTGACCCATACTTTACAAATTATCTCTAAAACAAATCATTTTATCAAAATTTTATAAGAGACAAACAATTTTCAACAATAAATGATTACCTGAAAAAATACTGTTTGGAAGTCATTGGCGCACGTACTAAAAAATAGGGGGAGTCAGTGAGTACTGGACCCCCCTATTTTGATTATTTGACAATTGTTTTTTGTTTTGTTGGTCTCAAAAAATGTAACTATTTATGTTGAAGTAGTGTACCGAATTTAAACTTAATATCTTATCAATTACTCGAATTATTAAAAAAAAATCAGTTTTAAATTTCAAACTTTGTCGCCCTGTATATCGAACATGAAGCTCTAAATTGAAAAATGGTATTATGAAAGTCTTATTGTTTTAACTCAAGGAATATATGGTTAACGGATTGACCTCCTTTTCCCGGACACCCTGTATATAAATAATTTTTTTTTCTTCAAATATTTTATGTTTTTACAAAATACAAAAATTATTCTTAAAAAAATAACAATTTTATTTTTTTAAGTAAAAAAAGTATTTCTGGTTTTAATTTTTGATTTTTTTAATTAAACACCTACCTACCTACCTACGTATATTTTTGGGCCCAAAAATAAATAGAGTGTAAATTTCCTCAGAAAAAAGTCCCTTCTACCTTATTAAGCCCTTTATCCAAAACCTACTGTTTTTATTTGAAGAGCAAGCACATAATTTAAAAATTTAAAAGAAAAAATAACATGGTCTAAAATTAAAATTCTTTAAAAGTATTTAAAAAATAGGACAAACATTTTTTAAATACAATTTTGTTTTTATTTTATAATCCTTTATCCTATTCATTAAATATTAATTTTTTTTATTATCTAGGTATTATATTAAAAAGTAAACATTTATGGAAGGTATGTATGTTTTTAATAATACAAAAATTAATCATTAAATATTTTCACCCAAGTTCAATGTTAGGGGTAATTATTTTACAATGAAACTAAAGAAAGTTATAAATCAATTGATTTCAAAAAACAGCAAAGATATTTGATATAGGTAATTAACATGGTAATAATTTTATCTTAAAAAAAATGTTATTTTTTCTTTGTTATAGGTATGTTTACCTTCTGAATTTATATTTTCATATATCAGTCGTTAATGACTGATATAAATTATATCAACTGATTAACATTTTAGATGATTTTATTGGCCAAAAAATAAATTTAGTAAAACCATCTTATTTCTAAGCACCGGGTGTGTTCAGAGCAAATGCGGAGCTTCCGCATAGATTTGGACATCCCCATCCGCGGATGTGAGCCTTCAAAAATCCGCATCCGCATTCACATCCGCGGATGTGAAAAAATCGGCATCCGCAACATCCCTGGTTCAGAGGTATGACCTTTAGCTAAACCAGGGTGAAAGAACCACCACCCTGAGCTAAACCATGACTTATATTAGCGAAATTATTTTCTATGGTTAAAAGCAAATGTCACAAATGTTAAATAAATGTATAGAAATCGATTATTATTATTATTTTATAAAACAACCTTTGAATAAAAAAGGTTTTTTATTCAAAGAAAACAACAGTTTTTAAAGAAAATTACTGCGATGCCATGTCCATATCTGGCCATGTCTTGCAAAAACCCATAGAAATAACACTGTTATTTCTATGCAAAAACCTATATATTCTATTTCTGTGATAGGCGTTGGCAACACTGCCCTAGGGATATTTTGAATAAACAGTTGGTAACTTTTAACTCCTATTTCTTGAGCGTTTGTTTATGTTTCTCATAGATAACAATCACAGAACAAATAACAATGATGTTTCTTGCCTTCTTCGGGGTTTTCTATTTTTTTGCAAGGTAGCTTTTTCGCCTATAGGCGACTATAGTCGAAGTCACGACATGTTCCTTATTTTTCGTTGTTAAAAAACTCAAGGTAAATAAATATACGTTAAATTCGTCGTTTTAGGAGGTTTTATAAAGGTTTCTTCAGCTTGCCAAAGTATTTTCGAATGAATACAACTATTCTGTGATCATTAAATATAAGTAGTAGTTTCCATGCACAATGGAGCAAATAGTGGTTAAAAGTGAACCTGAAGAACTAGTTGACGATTATAAAGGTGATATTTTGATGAATTATGCTAACCAAGAAATGTCTTCAACTTCTGGGATACCAATAAACATTGAGCAAATATATATAAAACAGGAAATCAAAGAAGAATTCAAAACCGAAGACGAAATGTTGCTCAACGAAGGGTAATTGCCATTTATTGAATTATCACCATGGCAACAGTTGTTTGACAGTTGACATAATTTAAACATGTAACAAGTACCAGGTTTAACCTTGAAATGAAAAATAATTTTTTGTAGGACCTACAGTGAAGTTGAAAATAAAGAAATACTGGCAAAAATAGACTTTCCAAAAACAGAAAAAGGTAAGCATATTTTTTCGACATAACTTTGATATTATTGAAAAATTTTACGTTTTTATTTTTGAAACGTGATTAGAAAATTGTTTTCTATCCTTTTACCTACCTACCTAAATATGTAAATATCTAAACTAAAATAAAAATTTTAAACCTCTTAAAATTAAAACCATAGGTTGGGATATTAACTGAATTTTTATTTTGACATAATACCTATGAGGAAGGGTGCATCAAAAATTATTTTTTTAAATAATGGCGGCAAAAGTTGACATACATTTTTATAAAAAAAACTAAAAGCATTCATTTTCTTGTGGAAATTGAGGTATGTGTAAAAAGTGTGTGTACAGAGATTGTAGGCAATTGGATTATTTTTGGAGGCAGTTGGGGTACAGAGATAAAAAACGGTTTTTATCAGATAGAAAGAAAAACAGAAAAAACAAAAAAATATCTTCTAAAATCTTAATTTTGGGGATTTTACTTGTGACGTGTTTTGTGGAAAACTAAATTTCCTACAAAAAAAAATTGATTTTTTTCCAGACTCAACTGTTTACAAGTTTTTGCTAACATATTATTTTATATTTAAACTTCTGAATTATTTTTTTTTGCGAAAAAAAGGCCAATTATTAAATTAATTAAAAAAAGAAAGTTTGAAAAAAACATAAATAGTAAAAAAAAACATTTGAAAAAAAAACTAGCATTTTATGTAAGTTAATTGGATACATTTGTACACCTATGACAACAATGTATGTTTGTAATTTTAAAGTTAATAAATAAATTGTATTTTTGTACAAATTTATAAAAAAAAATACTTGCATATTTACACAATACACTTTTTTTGCAGAAAGTCGCAAGGAACAGTCTTTAAAATCAAGAGATAAAGTTGAAGAAGAAAAGTGGTTTAAATGCGACCTTTGCCCTAAGAAATACCCAACAAAGGGGAATTTATTTCGACATAAAAATAGTGTTCATAAAATAGATGAACCAGAACAATTTAAGTGTGGAAAATGTGAATATCAGGCTTTAACCAAACGCGATTTTAAGTACCATTTAAACATTCACGATGAGAAAAATTTAAAATGCCATTTTTGTCCTTATATAGCTACTCAAATACTTAATTTGAATGCACATATTTTATCCACTCATAAAAGTTGTTTAAATGCTAATAAAAAAACTCACACCAAAAAAACTCCAAATAAAACAATAGAATTGAAATGTTTGTTTTGTCAATATAAAAGTGGTATAAAAAAAAATTTAGACAATCATATTTTAACTATACATTCAAGTTTGTTGAACAAAACCAATAAAAATATCATCACCTCCAAAATACACCATTGCGAACAATGCGACTACAAAACTACACAAATAAGTAATTGGAAATACCATTTAAAAAATCAACATTAATAATTTCGTTTAAGTTTGTAATTTATTTTATTTCAATAAATAATTACTATTTAAACTATTTTTTATTTATTACTCAATTAAAAATAAATTAATATTGACATTTAAACAAATTTCCCACAAATTGCATGGTTATGATGCTCAAAGAGTTTTGGCAATTATCGTATATTGTCAAAAATGTCAAAGAGTTGTACCTACCTACTTATTATTTTTGGAGTACGCAATACGTCACTGGAAGAAAACAAAATTCTATAGCCAATTTAACGCTTAGACTGTGACCGTTTGTTGACGTCACTGGAAGAAAACATAAAATTCTATCTCCAATTTGACGCTTAGACTGACCGTTTGTTGACCGCAAACAAAGCATTGTTATTGAATGGCAATGCGCCGTCCATTTGTTTTGGTGGTATGTGGTGCCATTGAATAATTAATGAATTTTTCACTTTCATTGCAATAATAACACTGTGCGACAAATTTTGACCTTACAATTTGAACTGGGATGAAATGTGGAAAAATTGAATCTATGCAACCCCCAAAACTAATCTTTAAAGGGGTTTTGCTAGTTTAGCTCGAATAATGGAGATATATAAAAGCCCCTAGAACTTAAAAAATATGAATTTTATAGAAAAATGATCGGACACGTCGATTTTTATTTTATATGACGCAATTTTCAGTTGATTTTGAAATTTCGTAAAAAAAAATAAAACAAAAAAACTGTAAATCAACGAATGTATTGTTCAAAGTAATTTCCTCCAAACTCCATGCAATAGTACAGACGTTGATTAAAATGGAAAATTGACTATATCTCAAAAACTGTTCCACTTTTTTAACTTTTGACGACTTTTTCGGATTAAGGAGAAAATTTTACATAAGAATTGGCTGTTAAATTTTGGGATACCATGGTATTCCATGGTTAACCATTAACTATTAAATTAGTTACTTTTGACTAATTCATTTTTAGAGAGTACATTACCTGTTATTTAAGGTATAACAAAGGGTCGGTTTTCTTTAAAAAAAAAAGTGGGGTGGCTGGGGGTGAATCTGTGAAAAAATAAAAATTTCAAAATCAACTGAAAATTGCGTCATATAAAATAAAAATCGACGTCCGAGCATTTTTCTATAAAATTCATATTTTTCTAGGGGCTTTTATATAGGTATCTCCATTATTCGAGCTAAACTGGTAAAACCCCTTAAAGGATTTGTTTTGGGGGTTGCCTAGATTCGATTTTTTCAGATTTGATCCCAGTTAATTTTTTGTGTTGCACAGTGTAATTTATAATTAATAAACGATAACGCGTTATATCGTTTATTAATTTCTTTTTTATTTTAAATTATTTGAGGAGCATCCGTGCAAAACCGGCTATATCCACTTTAATAAAATGTTGGAAAAATTGCAAAAACTCTCGGTTTCCTGGCCTTTACAGTTATAGGAAAAAGCAAACTTGAGTTTTGTGGGCTTTGTGGTACTTGATTTACTTTGTGGTACTTGATTTATATATCCGTTTTCAAAAACTTTATATTAAGGCCAAAATTTCAAAAAATGTTTTGGATATAGCCGGTTTTGATCAAAAACCGAATAAAATGTGAAAAAAAACCTTTATTATTCAAAAATATTAAAAAAATAAATTTAGTGCAAACATGAAAAAACAGAACAAATTTTAGTAGTAGTATCGACATATCCAAGCCACATGCTCATCATCATTATTTATTGGATATAGCCGGGTTTGCTATAAAAACGTGGATTTAGCCGGTTTTCCTCCTAAAGCTACCTTTTAAATGTGATTTTAACATGGATAAAGTCGGATTTAAACAGAATTATCTTGGTTGTCGATAGAAATGAACCCAAAGATGCGAAATCACAAAAAAAACAAAAACTGAATAAAATGGATTTAGCCGGTTTTGCACGAATGCTCCTCATTTAAAAAAGACAATTGTATTGTTATTTTTTTTTAATAATTGGACAATCCTTTTACCTGTTATGGTGTTCTTTTCTTTGCAAAACATGTTTTCTGCTCTTCTCGAGACTTTCGCTGCATTCAACAGAACATAATAATTCGTTTTCACAACTCATTTTAAGATTTTAAATAACACTGCATTTAGAACCGCGACTACAACTGTCAAAATCGAAAAGCGTTACCATGGAAACCATAGAATCAACAACTCGCAATGTTGCCGCGTTTAAATCCAATTTTTTGTACACGTGTTTTAATTCACTTTCCTGGACAGAAAACCGGGCGGAACCGGTATTTATTTGTGGACCGGAACCGAACCCATATTATTTTTAAACTCAACTCTAGAAACTGAACCGGAACCCTTTTAATTTAAAACCGGTTTTTAGGTTATTTTCTGTTTTTTTCAAAAAATAAAAAAAATATTTTGTTTCGTTAAATTTAGTTTTTGCAAGAATCTGATATTATTTTTGGCATATGTACTATCGCTAACAAAAAAAAACTCATACAAGCTGACATCGAGCTTTGTCACATCCATTATGGCTTTTTTAACATTTTTAACCAAACAAAGCAGACGAACTTTGGCAAGCCATTGAAGCCATTTGGAACGAGATAAAGCAAGACGGCGACTTCCATGCTTTGCCGTTTGCGGGCAGTAATTGACAAAAACAGAGGGATGACGAAATATTATTTTTTTTTTTCAAACTTTAACCTAACTTTGTATTTAATTTTCGCTGTGGCTCCCGTCCCGAGGCGGGACTTAAGTTCAGTCCCGATTGACGTCATAATTTTAAGATTTGTTATGTTATAATAAAATAATAATAATAAATTGTACCTGTATACATGTTAAGGGCACTTTAGTTACGTCATAAAACCAAACCAACCCAAACTCAACAACACAACCCAACCGACCCCGCCCCATTGGCCCTCCCCGCCCCATTGAGCAAAAAACCCAACTAAAATGGGCAAATTTATGTTACGATAAAAATAAAACACTTTTTAACAAAGAAACAACAAATTTATAAATTAAAAAAAATAAAAAAAGTTTGACTTCTAGTGGGATCGAACCCGGTACCTCTCGCATGCCAAGCGACCGCCCTACCATCTAAGCCATCGAGCTTGACACAAATTATAAAATCTCTGGGAATAAAAACCGATTAACAGTGTGTGACGTCAATCGGGACTGAACTTAAGTCCCGCCTCGGGACGGGAGCCACATCGTTTAATTTTAGACCTTTCAAATGTGACGTATCATGTTAAAAGCCATAATTACTCCAACGAAATGATACAAAATCAGGAACACTAGATTTTTAAGCTGTATGAGTTTTTTTGTTAGCGATAGTATCTTTTTATATCGATATTATATGATAATAATTATTAACAAGTAAATTATCAATAATAAATATTACTGTCAATTTGACAGTGTCAGGTCTTCAGCAGAAGTACCATTTTTATAATACTAAATCAAACTGGCATAAGCTACCAACTTAATAAAAAACACGAGTCCAAATTAAAAAAATGAACCGTATGCATTATAAAAAAATTCAATAAGAATGCAAACTAATTAATTTATTTTATATATACGATTGTTTCAAAAGTACAGTTGATAACTATTTATAAAATTAACATATATATTCTTATAAGAAATACGTTTTAAAATTGAATTAACAAACAATCGTTTGTTATCAAGCTCCCTAATAAAAAACTTTTCTTTACAGAATTTCAAGAGGAAGTAAAAGAGGAAAAATTGTATAAATGCGATGTTTGTCCTAAGAATTACAAAACAGGAGGTGGTTTAAAGGAACATAAAAGGCATATTCATAATAAAGGTGAACAAGTCCAGTATAAATGTTGCAAATGTGGATATAAGACTGCCAGAAGAGGTCATTTAAATTATCATTTGAAAATACACGACAAGGACAAATATTTGAAATGCCGCTTTTGTCAATATATGGCTGCTGGATCGCAGACGTTAAATGCACACCTTATAAGTAAACATAGGTTGGAAAATGAAGGAGAGAATAAAATAAAAATAACAAGTAAAATACACGAGTGTCCTAAATGTTCGTATTCAACTGTTAGAAAAAATGATTATAATAATCACATTAAGGCATGTTTGAAATTAAAAAATGTCAAATGGCATAAATGTGACCTTTGCCATTTTAGAACTATTACTATAAGTAATTTAAACACCCATATAAAAACCCATAACAAAATAAAAGAATTGAAATGTTTGTTTTGTTCCTATCAATGTAATTTGAAACAAAACTTGGACAACCACATCTTAATTAAACATTTCGATTTGTTAAATGAATCAAATCAAAATTTAATCACTTCCAAAGTACACTGTTGCCAACACTGTAATTACAAAACCACAAATACAAGTGATTTAAAAAAACATTTAAGTAGAAAACATTAATAATTTAATTAAATGTACTCTAACCGAAATTTCAAAGTTTGTAATTTAATTTAATAAATTATTAACATTTTTTAATTATTTTTTATTTCCCTCGGGGTCTTTCGAATTTGCCGTGGGAATGTAAAAAACTATTAATAGTTAGGGACTAATTAGTCCTATTATATGCAGATTTACACCACCGTTGATTTACAATCAATTATTTTTTTTCTTTTTTACTGTGCTTTTATACTCAATACATATATGTATTATATATTATAATCGCGATTATAATCGCGATAGGTACCAACTTGTTTAAACAAAAAAAACGTCAAAAATAGAACCTTAAAGGGACAATATTGCGAGTTGTTGATAGCTGGTTTCCATGGTGACGCTTTTCACTTTTGACAGTTGTAGTTGCATTTCAATACGCAGTAGGGAATCCCACAGAACATGGGGGAATCCCTACTGCGTATAGAAATGCAACTATAGTTGCATCCCTATAGGGATATCAATCCCGAAAGGTTTTCGTAATCCCTGGATTTTCGAGATTTGTACTACTAATCCCGGGATTGGATGTCATCAAATAACATTCAAAAACTTTTATTGTAATAAAGGAAAATTAACAGTGCGGCTAAAGTTTCATCTCCCAGCCTCAAACGTATTTTTATGTAACAAATTGTTACATAAAAATCCTGCAGAAGAAAAACATCTCCGAGATTCGTGACCTTCTAACCTCAATAGCTCTATATCTGTTCAATATTTTTTCTTAGTACCAGAAGAACTTTTTATCAATGGATCATAAACTACAACATATCCAAAATTCAGACATTTTCATTGAAGCCCACACTCCCATTAGTTTTGTGCGGGGTCCTTTACATTATTTTAGTATTAAAATCATTCTTTACCTACCTTTTTCTTTATTAACCTCTTGGCACGTGAGATCCATTTTACACAATAACTAACAAATTTGAAAGTCTTTGAATAGAATAATAATACAACATCTAATCACAGAGGGCACATAAGCGAGTAAATTATAATTATTGTGCCGCGGTGATTCCCCAAATTCCGGTTTAAGTGTGCGTCATGTTTTCGCAACGTTGTCAGCATTCGCGTTAATTACTTTAGTTTTGAAATAGCCTAAGTAAGCTAATTAATACATGCATAAAAAATCGGTATTAATCCCGGGATAAGGTAATCTTGTCCCGGTATTTTCGAGACAGGGTTTTCTTCGGGATCCCGGGATTGACATCCCTAATATGTAGTCATATACCTATAACTAAGTTATAGGTATATGTATGTAGTGTTGTTTAAAATCTTAAAATCAGTTGTGAAAACGAATTATTATGTTCTGTGAATCGAATAAAGTCCACTTCATGGGAGAAATTATTAAAAAAAGGTATGGGAACCAAAAATAAACCTATTATTATTATAAAAATAAATAACCAATATGCAAAACAGAAATAATTTGTTTCTAACAAGCATAGAAAAAGTGACAGCACACAGAATCAGTGTTGCCAACTCTAGACAGAATCACAGAACATGACAGAATTCTCTCGTTTGATTTTTTGGATGGAAGAAACGGAGTGGAAGAGCAATTTGGCCAACTCTTCCTTCATAAACCAAGTGGTAATACGAGAAATAAGCTAAATTGACAAAAAAAAATGAATTGAAAAAAAATAAAAAACGCCACACCAGAGAATTTGCAGAAAATTCAGTTTCTAATAAAAAAATGATCGAAAAATTTTCAGAAAACTAAACAAACAAACGTTAAAAGATCAGTCTGAATATTTTTCTGAAAAGTACAATTTTTGATGATTATTTTTTTTGGTTGGGTAAATTTTTTAAAAATTGTGATTTAAATAAAAAAGCTAATTGAAAAAGTACAAACTCATTTATTAAATAACAATCTTATAATGTATTACAATTTTGGGAAATTTTAAAACCTATTTAAGTACAGATAAAACATTATTCTTAAATTCTATACTTACAAAATAGAGTCACAGATATTATAAAAATAATTACATTCAATGATTGTAAAAGGTAATCTACACACTTTGAATCAAAATGATTGGCTCAAAATTTTCCTTGTTCTTTATCCACAAAAAACAACTGGACAACGAAAAAAAAGTATATAAAAATATAACATACATTTTACAAACAAAATGGTGAAGTTGGTATCATTATCAAATTTAGGACCTTTGATAGAAAAATACTTTTTATAAAATATGTAAAATTGGTACTAGGGACAATGTTACCAACTTTTAACAATAAATTGATGACATTTGCTTAATCTAAAAGACAAAAAAATATACAATCACAGGGGCAATTAATTAATAAATAAACAGGAATGTTTCTAATTATTAATATCTCAAAATGGCGAAATTTCATTTATATTTTAAATAATTAAAACACCGGAATTCGTAAAATTCAATTCAATAAAATTATTTCACAAAAATACACAATTTAAATAATTGTAAAATTGACATGTTAGTGCTTATAATCAGTATAAGTATAGCATGTTAGTTTTTCACGTAATTTTTGGTCTAATTGTTGAAGTTTAAATAGGTTGCAAAATGAGGTTTTCCGCCTAAAAAAAAAACAAAAAATATATTTTTTGTTTTATTTGACGTTTGGAGGCGCCACCATACCGAATTCACGATACACAAAAACCGGTATGCTGATGCGCATGTTATAGCTATCTCTCTCGCACCGTGTGACGTCATGTGCGAACCATAAGCTGGCGGGTAACTGGTGGGAATGTTATTTGCACTTCAAATTCACGTTATATTCGAAAATCTATAACCATAGGGACGGCCTGGGTGCAATTATTAAGTGTAACAAATGTTAAGAGAAAGTTCAATTGGCAGCGAGCGCTTTTAATACTAATGTAACATATTTTAAGCAACAATTAATTTCATACCTTCCTATTATTATTTTTCAAAATATTTTTTATTTAATTGAATTAACTTAATTTACGCTAGAGCGAATTTTAATTTTTTTTAATGTGAAAGGTAAAAATTAATTTGTACAGGTAAAAATAACGCACGCCCGTTTTAAAGTGTCAAAAGTAAAAAAAAAACTCAAAACTGCTTTTTTTACTTGCGACACTTTTGAAGCGGGTTTCCGATACAATTGTGTTTTAATTTTTATTATTAGTAATTAAGCAAGCTGTGAAAAAATAAGTGGGTAGGGGAAAATTTACTAAACGCTAGAGAAGTATCATCGTAACAAAAATACGACTTAATCAGCTGTCAAACGCTTAGTTTACAAGCTTTTCACGTTAATCACTACTAAATAAGTATTTATTGTATCTAATAGATGCAATTTATATTTACAGAGACTGTATGCAATTTATTTCTTCATTCAGATTAACACTGTTTATTGGAAAACCGGTAAAAACTCAACCCAGGATTTCCTCTCTTTTGTGAAAAAACTATCTATTTATTTAAAAATAATGTATAATCTGTGCTTTAAATTTATAGACCTATTCCATAAAACGGACTTTTGGATAGCGCGTGCGTGAAAAGGCACGTCGTCTTTTTTTAATTATATAAAAGAGAAAGAGATACCACTCTTCTTCAGGCACGCGCTATCCAAAAGTCTGTTTTATGGGATAGGTCTATTGTTGATAATTCTTAAAATCACGCAATGTTATCGAAGTCCACCAGATGGCGCGCGCGTTGCGAAAACCCGATACTTCTTTAGCGTATAAGTACCTAACAGAAAATTGGGTATACCAAAAACTGCCTTTACTTACCGTTTTTTATTTTTATTTTACCTTTTCCCTTGCATGGATTTATCCACTGTGCTGCCAGCTCTTTATTTTTTGAAATAAAAAATATTTATTGTTAGGTTAGGTTGGGTGTTGCAGTTTCCGTTCATATTTCTGCTGCCTGCTACAGCACAGCCCGGCATATTTTAAATAGTTATTAAGTCCAACACAAACACAAACTTGATAAATAACGTGGTATAAAACACCCGTGCGTGGCTTATAAATACCTGGTGAATAGTTATTGCTGTTCAATAAATGCAGTAAAAACACGTTGCAAAACCATCGTGCTTATGTTTTGAAAAACACAATAATTTCGGAAAAAACTCAAAAGAAATCGTAGTGAAACATCCGTGCACGGCGTATTTTTGTGTATCGTGTGCGCATTAAGAAATATCGATAAAATAATCAGGTTTAACTCACCGATATATCGTTCACATGAGGAATCAATGTCATTATCATACGGCGAGTTATCCAGCTTTGTATTACACCCCGAGTCGGTGGAATCATCTGACATGACGCCTTAAAAACGTCCTTCATTTAAAATAACCCCGTTAAAGTGGAGAACCTGCTCTAAAAAGGTCTCGCCGATTTTTACCCGTAGTTTTAATTTTATGAAAGTAAATTTAATTAATTAAATTAAATCGAAAATCGGCGAGAATTTTTCGACAAACGCATTCAATTTTAGATACCTTTGGATATGAATTTGTCGGGCATCGGCAGCTCGGCGGGGTGCGGCGCCGCGATCGACGGAAGCGCCGACCACGGGTTGCGACCGGTCGCCAACAGGTGGCGCGCCGGCGATATCAGCGAGTCCGGGTTGCCTAGCAACTTGGGATTGTGGACAATCGGCATCTGGATCGATAAGTTCTGCGGGGAAAAAGAAACACGTGCGAAAATTCATCGACGATTTGCTCTCTCTCTCTACTTTGTTGGCCGAGAAAATCATTTTTTCATTTTTTAAGACGTTTTAAAATGTATTCGACCCAACAAAGTAGAAACCTCCCTTAAGTTATCAGGGTGTCCAACTTACCAAACTATTGTCAAAAGTCGATGTGTTTGTCCAGTGATTCCAAGGTGCGGCGCCCTAGTAAGAAAAACACATTTAACTCTATCGCACATAGAGAACTAAAGGTTAAAAAAAACAGAAAAAGACCGTTTTATCTGGACCATTGAAAAAATTACAAGAGAAAATATCAAGAAACCAAAATAATAATAAATTTACCTACATACAAATGTTAATAATAACCAAGATACAAGGTGTCAAAGTTCGTTTTCGATTTTATTAATTAACTTTGA